GCCTCCCAGAGAGCTAGGATTACAGGCGTGAGCCACCGCGCCCGGCCTCATCAAAGTCTTTGCAAAGCCAGAAATCTGTGGATGAAGCCCAGTTCAGGACCTCTGGTGTAGTTAGATATCACGGTTCCGCATGTGGTTTCTCGATGTGTTCTTTGTGGTGCTTGCTTTTGGCCCTCGATTACTAATTTTCCCCCAATGATGGTGACTCCTCCTCAGATTATTGGAGGAGGCATCCCTACTCCAAACGTGGTTGGTGAGCCAGCCGCCTCAGCATCACCTCAGAGTTTACTGGAAATGCAGACTCTCAGGCCCCCACCTCAGACCTGCTGAATCAGAATCTCCATTTTAACAAAGTCCTCAGGTGATGTGCATATACCTTAAACTTTGAGAAGTACTACACCAACAGATTGGTAAGAATAGAGAGAGATCTCATTGAGAACAGGGTATAATAAGTGAAAAAGATGGGCAGGCAAAACAGCAATTTAAAAAACAACTCACAACAGAAGCGAAAGAAAGTTTCACATAGCCTTTTAGAGAATGTGGAACACACTAGGTCTGAACTAGTGTGCTAACTAATACACAAGTAGTGGCTGCCAGGAGCATTGTATGGAGAAGAGTTGTGAGACAGCATGGGATTAGCAGAGATGTCTGCCATGGGCCTGACCAGATAAGCGATAAATACTTGCTACCTCTGATTTTGAAGATTGTTGGGTCATCATATATTCCTGTCTCTCTCCCTTCCTCTGCCCTTGTCTTTAGCCCTGGTGTAGATGAATACCACTACTTCTGCTCCTCTGGGCATCTTCTGCTACAGTAGCTCATAAATATAAATGAAAATCTTTTGTTCATCAAGGAGATCAGCCATGTTGCCTAGAAATACACTGTCCTCCCCCCAAACCTCTCTTGTAGTGACAGGCTGAAGTTTCTCCTGACAATATTATAAGTAAGATTTAATCCTCTCTTATCTATTACCTATTTTTGTCATCTGTCATTTTATATTGCTTAACCTTTGTGCTTTTCAGTTTTCTCATCTGAAAACAAATATGAGAATGTTGGACTTGATCTGTAAGGTCTCTTTCTGCTCTTAAAATTCTATAGATTTATGTTTCCTTTTGCCTTCTGAAGAAAGGAATGGATCTATAGGATTCTACCTAATTTAAGCACCACATATAAGAAATACAAGTTTTTTTCTTGATGATTTCATTTCATGATCTTTCTTTGTTCATTTCTCTGATCTTAAACTTTCATAGATGGTTAAAGTAGAAAGAGAACTTTAATGACCACTTTGCCTTTGGTCTTTCCCCATTACAATTTCCCCATTCCCATCTTTGCAAGAGTAACCTTACTAAATCACTGTTTTCATTGGGTTTTTTCTTGTACAAAAAACTTGCAGTCTGGAGTTTTAGAGAGTATATTCAAGACATTTCTTCTTGACAGTCAATGTAATTTTATTTTCCTCTGTTCTCCAGTTTGAACATTTTTTTCTCCACCAGGCTGGTGCCTTCCAATCCTATATAGCATATGATATCCTTTTCCTAACCTAATTTCCACATAGCATTTAAAATCACCTTTTGTCCCATTATTTCTGAGACCACAATTTTTTCATACCCTAATGACTTATTTCTATTGTCCTCTGTTTTTAAGAGAATGTTTTATTATTCAACTTTTCATATGTTTAGCTTTTCTCCTGAAATAAATTAGGAACTTCTTGAGGTAGGGACTGTGCCTTTTCATGATTTATATCCCTTTCAGTTATCATGCACGTAGTGGGCACGCAGTAGTTATTAGTTGAAAAGTACAGTAGATACTTTGTAGTTTGCTTTTTTTGCTGTTGAAATTGCTGATGTGAACCAATAACTTTCTTTGGACACTGAAAGCTCCAATGACATCAGTGAATAAGAAGGTATAGATAGGAGATAGGGATGTTGGAAGCATTTGGCCATATTTTCAAAGGTAAATGTATTGGATAAAATATCCTTTGAAGTGCTTTTATTTCCCCTATAACTTTTCCCTAACATTCCTTTTGCCAGAATCACAAGCATTTCATAATCTTTCTTGATAATGTATTAATAACAGAGGAAAATGAATTTTTAATTATCAGAATGTATCATGTCCTAGAAAGACTATAATATTAGAGCAAGGAGTTAAGATTCTAGTCTAGCATCTTCCACTGTTTCTCTTCCTTACCACAGACAAACACTCCATCCTTCTGTGCATCCTTTCTTCATTTGCAAAGTGGGGATAATAATAACTTCCTGTAAGTACCACACTCAAGGTGAAGCGAGGAATAAAGATGAAATAATATAGTATGAATTAAGATAGTAGAGACTATTTCTGTTACGTCTGTTTACATGTATAACATTAAAATACCTTGCTAAATGTTTTTTATGTCCTTAAAAATTCCCCTTGGATTTTAAGCTTTTAGTGATGCAGAGGTATATCTCTTTTTTTATGGCATCTAGCTCAGTACCACATGAAGTGAGATATTAAATAAGTATTTTTTGAAACATATTCAAGAAGCATAAATTAAATCAGTTTTAAAGACTGTTATTATCCAGTCCAATTGCCACTGCCACCAACTTTTCCAAGTGTTTTTAAGAAATAAAAAGTCTCTTTTTTAAATCAAACATCACCATTTCAGGAACACTGAAATTGATATTCACTAGCTAAACCTAAAAACCAAACAAAACTAAAGAAAAATTGAAAGCATGTGGAATTGCTGCACCTAGAAAATTTCACAAGTGGTAGTTTTTCCAATTGTAAATGACACCTAATTTATCCAGGCAGCCTCTCTCCCTAGATTCCCTCCTTTCTTCCTCCTCCTCATTTCTGCTTTCCCTCGCTTTTTCTTACTGAACACCAACAACATGTGAGGCCACTGTGAATATAGAGGTGAATCAGGTACGTTTCGCTTTCTCAAGGAGCTCTCTGTCTAGTGACACTGGTCTGCACAGGGACTTGCAGTGTCAAAAATAGTATCTCAGTAATTATCTTACCATGGTGTTTGATTGATCAGGATATTTTGTCTTCCCTCTCAGGGGGTCAAAATGTTTCTTCTGTATTCTGGATAGATTTTTGATAGCAATAAGGTCTGCTCTAAGTATGTAATAAGGCTTTGTGTCTCCTGTCATCCTTTGCAGCATCACCATTTTAAAATCAGGATTAATGTAGCAATACTTCCTGGTTGTTAATGCCTCATGGAGGTGTCCTTAGAGTTTATCTAATATAATGCTTATTTTACTGGTAGGGAAAATTAAAACCAATAGATAGAAGTTGGTATTATTTTTTAATTGTGTGTGGTACTGAAATATCCCTTCCTATATTCACTGATCTTTTGTGGTCTTTTTTTTTTTTTGTAGCTAATAGACTGTTTTCTACATAACAGATGTTCAACTATTTAAAGAAAAATTTCTTTCTCCTATAAATAGTCTCTTAAGTAACCTCAGTTTTAATAATTTTGGTTCTATGATGAAGTTTCTTCATTTTTCACCATTATTAGTAATTTTTCTGGTTGAACTTTAATCTACCAAGCCCTCTTAAAACACATAGTATATATTTGTAAAGTAACATTAAAGGACTATAGTTTCGTGGTGAGAGAGAATGGCTTGTGTCATTCCCTCCCCAAGTTTGTCCATTATTATATTGTTTTTTAGTTAGCCCCCTTCTAAATTACTCTTGAGCTGTCTAGGGTAAATATAAGGCTGTGATTGTTGGCCTGGTTATTCATTTGTTGCAAAGTTACATGATAGCTGTACAGTTCTGAGTTGAATTATTGCTCTCAAAACTATATCAGCTCATTAATTTTTCTTTTTAAAATTTTATTTTCAATGTTATGATTTATTTACCTGCAACTTTTTTCTTGCTTTTTCTTTTTGATTTTCTTTTTTCTTTTTTTTTATTTTATATTACAGACAAACAGAAACTTCCTCCTTTCATCTTTCCATTCTCTGATTTATGATAAATTTAGTTTCCTTTGGCCTGGCATTTGCTTCAGCAGGCAGCCTTCCTTCAAGTACCTCCCTGATTGATGTATAATCTTTGATATCTTCCATTAGCCTCCAGGATCACTAAGTTCAAGGCCCCCTTGGAACCTAAGGAGCCCTGCCGAGGAGCTGAAGGCCTTCAGAGTCCTTGGGGTGATTGACAAGGTAATTCTTCAGTGTCTCTTCAAGAGTTCAGTCATAAATCGACTGCATGCTGACTTTCTGTCTTTGAAGCTTTGGATCTTAAGGATATGAAACAAAAGGAGAAAATGACTCAAATGCATCTGCACTTTAAAATAACAAAAGCAGAAGAGGAAAAAGCTTTTATCTAAGCAATTCATGTAAGGTCATGCAAAATATATTTGAGCTAAAGGAGAAGGTGCATATTTGTTGGCATTCAGTTGAGTAAGAGGTTTGGTTTTATAAAAGTGGAATACTAGGGTAAAGATGCACTTTATGTTAGTTAAACTTTTGAGTCAGTAGTTGTTCAATATTAGTTGATATAGTCATTCTAATAGTCAAAAAGAAAAAGGGAATTCCCTAATAGCTACCATTTATTGAGCACCTACTGTGTGTCAGAGTTTATATTGGGCATTTTATAAAAAACAACTTAATTCTTCTTACAATCTCTTACTCTTTGCATCTTGGTGGGAAAGTGATGTTGAGAATAAGTTAAATAACTTGCCTAGAAGTCACATAGCTACTTTAGGGCAGTACTGGGATTCAAACACCAATCTTTGTGATTCCAAAAGCTGTGCTTTTTCCAGTACATTAATCTACCCTACACACACACACACACACACACACACACACACATGCACGCACTTTTATGTTTGAAATAAAAATACCTAGCTCACAGAGATATCTGCCATTGAGTACATGCAAATTTGATGATGTCTCGGATATGCCTAATATCTGCAGTATTGGGTCTGGCAGGTAGTTTACGAGTGTAATTTTATGAACATAGACAATAAACCATGTTTTAAATATATTTGCTCGACTACCGCTTTACCATTCAAAGCAAAAGCAAATGCTTTATTTTTATTAAT